AACCCAAATTATAGCCTGTTGATTTAACAGAATGGTATGACTTTGTTTAACAAAATAATGTTATAACTTGAAGAAATGTTATGAATATAATGCTACCTTGTAACAACCCAGGATACTAATGTTCATTCTAGAACTCTCCACATTGTTTCAAGGAGTCAGAAAAAAAAGTCATTGCTCTATCTTAGGCTAGGGCCATCAGGACGGCATAGCAGGTTGGGGCACCTTGATGCCAAGCCTGATGACCTTAGTGTGACCCACGTGGCGGAAAGATTAAAATGAACTACCAAAAGTTGTGCTCCTCCACACAGACACTGTGGCTTGCCCATCCCCATCCCCCAAATGCACAAATCAATGATTAAAATCATGGGCCTACACTTTATAAAAGGAAATACATACAAGGCACTGCAAATCTGGTCAAGAGTCCACGATTAGGGAGCTCACAGGCCCCGGGAGTCAATCTATGACTATTGTTCTGCTAAACGCACGGAGTAGAAACTGCCCTCAAATTTCTATCTTTATTGGTGCAGTTCTCAGATCTCATTTGTTCGGTGAATGGTGCTTAGCTCAGAGATTCATAACTGGTCTGAGTTAAGAGCTAATGTCAGAGGAATGCTCAGCCACGGGGGGTGCTCCCTCTCCCCAAGAGTCAGGAACCACCTAAGAACAGGGGGATGGGAAGACATAAGAGCCAGAGGTTGGGGAGGCCTAGATGGGAGCTGCCCCCGTACATGGCAGGACCACAGCAGTCATGACCTTGGCAGCTGTGGGTTCCTACACAAGGTCAAGTCAGTCAGTATCGGGTGTGGAGTGAGAAGGGCTTAGTAGCCCACCCCCAGCCTTACCCCAGCCTTACCCCAGTTATGGACAGTTGATGGGTTCTGGAGCAGAGGAAGTCAGTTTTCTTCAAGGATGTGGTTTCCAGTAAGCAGCCCATGTTCAGTGGATGGTCCCACACCCAGCAGTCTATGGGCAGCCCAAATTAGAGTCTAGGGGTTATTTGTTTAAACAAGAAAAGGATACAAAGTTGGGGGGTAGGATAGTGGGGTTAACTCTAGGAGTTAGGGGGAGAAGGTCAATGGGGGTTGACTTGGATCAAAGTACCTTGTATGAAATTCTCAGCGAATTGATAAAGATATCACTTAAGGAAATCCTGGACGATAGCCTCATTGTGGATGCTTTTCTGGCTAAGTCGCGTTCGTCTCCTTGCTCCCGAAACCTTTCCTCTTCCTCAGACTAAATGACTGTGCCCATCTCACCCTCGTGAACCCAGAGTTATAACAGGAGCAGTTGCCCACCCAGGTTAGAAAGATGTGGCCCAGACCCTTTTGTTCTCCCGGGTTCTAGCGCAGGAAGAATTTAAAAAGCTATTTGCACGTATTCCTCTGGTTTTGAAGCTTTTTAAGTCCCATACTTTCAGACAATCAGATTGAGAGGGCTAACAAAACCTTTCACAACACATTCCTTTAAATGCCAGCCGGGCACACCTGGAACAGCAGGAGGCAGCCGGGCACAAAGCTTTGCTGAGCCCCTGAGCCCTGCACAGCTAGTCCTGGCTTTGAATATAAGGAACTTGCAAGAAAAAGCGAGAAGCGGAGGATCTTAACTCCTTTCACCTGTCACTCGTTCACTTGGCAAGGGAGCACCAATCATCTGCCAGACCCTGTCATGGGTACCAATCATGTCACAGCCCTGACTTACAAAGTGCACAGAATAGTTTGTTCCTGGCAAAGGCTTTGAGAAAACTCTGGCAAACAAAGAGAACACAGCTGACCCAGGGAGGGGGCAGCTTTCTAGGTCAGCTTCAAAGAAAAGAGGTGAGAAACAAATGGAGATTTAGGCCCTGTTGAGATTCTCTTTATATATATTTTATGTGTGTATACATATATATGCATGTGTGTGTGCATGCACAAGTGTGTCTATGCGTCAGAGTGTGCATGTGTGTATATGCATGTGAATGTGTGCATCATGTGTGTGCATGTATGTGTATATTGTGTGCATGCGTGTGTACATAAGTGTGTATGTGGGGAGGCAATTCTCCTGCTGCAGTGTTCAGTGAGGAGCAGGGCCAGCTATTCCTGGGCCAGTGAGGAGTGGGGCCTGCTCAGCACGGCCCTTGGACCTCAACACACATGATTCCCATGACCTGCTGTGGTAACACAGACCCTAGTTACAGTAGGAACACAGACCCAGACATGGCCCTTAGCAGCAGCTCAGCCCTGAAGATAGAATGGCCCTCAGACAACAACAGGGTCTCAGGTGACAGTCCAGACCTGGGGGCATCCGTGACCTTGGTGACAACAGAAGCTACAGCCATCTCTGGTTTTTTAAGTGGGTTATGAGAATCAAACTCAAGACCTCTTGTTTTCTTGAAAAATACTTTATTAACTGAGTAACCTCCCCAGTCCTCAACATTCTTGTTTCTAACCCATAGTCTCTTAGACACCATGGCACTGGGGCAGACAACATTTCCCAGCAGAGCTGACAGCAACCATCTCATCAGATAACACAGTGAAAAACAGGACAGACAGGAGACACACCAGCATCCCATGGCCGCCCACCCCAGACAAATGCTAATCTTGGCTTTTGATTCTCTCTCTCTTAATGACAAGCGTTTCTTCCTGCCATCTAGCTTGGCTTTGATTCAGCTCCTTGCATGGCAGTGGGAGAAAATAACTTGATTTGGAGCTTAGGCAGAAAGGAAGATGCGCTTGATGGTTTCTGAGAAGGGCAAGGGCAAGATGAGTCATCTTGAAGGGCATGGAATGGCTAGCATCCTGTTTTTATGTAAAATACCTATCTCTTCGAGTTCTCCTGAACCCTGACCTAACCTAGTACAGCAAGCTGGAGGAGCTGTGTGTTGACAGCCCTGTCACAGACAAGCATCACATCACGGTGCACCCTTCACCTCTCACAGAGGCGTTCCCAGTCTACTCACAATTACGAGCCCTTTCACATCACATAGTACTGGGCTTGAGAGGAAAAGCCAGGCTTAACCTATCCTAAAGGCAAGCCCACCAATACAAAAACACTGGCCTTGAAATTCTCTGAATAAAGTTTCAGGAAAACAAGAGCTAATTCTGGAATAGACAGGACTTCAGCTATCTGTGCAACATGCGTTAGTCTGAGTCCCCTTCTCAGGGGGAGCCGAGGAAGTCTGGGAGGGCCAAGGGTCCAGACAGGCACAAGTTTCTGGTGCTAACAGAGAGGAGTAAGCAAGACAAGACCTTCAGGAAGCATGGCCATGGAGATCAGTACCACAGCACTGCAGAGGGCCTGGCTGAGTGGAGAGACAGACCCAACCCAGGCAGCGGGCAAACAGGAGAAGGGAATGCACCTGCAGGGATTTGCACAGGCTCTCTCTGGCTGAGGCAGGAGCTCTGGGAAGCCCAGGACCATTTCACACCATCCAACACAGAGGAGGTCTCTTAAAAAGGTCAGTCTGACTAAAAACTCACCAACAACATGTCTCACAGGGACTTGCCGCACTGCTGGTCAGCGGTTTCAGCACTGCTCTGAGTTTCCATTCAGGTGCTGGACTGGATGGATAAGAACTTGCTAAAGGAGCAGGCTTCTGAGTCCCATGACATATAAAGTACTTATTAAAGCCCCACATGGCATTATACCAACATAATGAAAACCACTAAGAACTGAGCCAGCTGAGCAGTTGAGTGTGGCCAGGGACCGTCCTTTGCTGGAGCCAGATGGACAGGCAGACATGACCACCAGGCTTGTTCTTAACGCCCCTTCCTGCCTTTCCATGTCTCCCTTTTTCTCTTCTTGCCCTGATCATATTCAGTTAAGTTCTCTTAAGTAGAAGTGTAATTGTTTTTCAAGGTCAAGTGAAATCATGAATTTCCCTTATTAAAATTATTGGAAAGCTAGAATTTGGAGCTGTCAAAATAGTTTATTAGATAAAGACACTTGACGCCAAGCCTGCTGAATTAAGTTCAATCCCCAGAACATATGCAGCACATATGTAAACATGCATGCCCGCACGCAAGTGCACACCAAATGAATGTAATCTTTAAAGCTAAAATTATGTGCATTATTCACAAATGTTGAACATGGAAATGTAGCCTAGGAAATACTAAAATACATAAAGGCAACCAATATATGATATATCAACAACCGAAACAAGACAAGACCATCGAGATTGTCCCTGGCTTTTGTGACAGACAGAAAAGAGGTCACCTGGACTGATCCATGTCATAATAGCATGAATGGCTCACATATCAAGCTGAACAGGCAGATAAACAGGAGCATGGATATTAACATCTGTGTCTAGGTCACCAGCAAGGGTAAAAATGGACGGGAGTGAGAGTAAAAAGAACTGATACCCAGAAGACACTCAGGCAGTTCTGGGGAAGGCTCACTACATGTGTGACCCCAGGGTGGCATTTCTACCATGCCTATCTTGGCAGCTAGGTAGCACACAACCTGTACCCAAGCCTACGATGCAACAGCCATTTTCCTTGGTATTTAGTGCGCTATCGTGTGCTGAGTTCTCACTACATGCTGAGGGGTGTGTCTGCCAAGGGATTTCCAAAGACTTTCTAGTCTAATCATCGAGATGCCCCATGAGGTCATGTCTTCTGACCACCACGAGAGACTGGAAGAACTGAGGCTGGGGAGAGAGCTGTGTTGGTAAAACACCCGCACGCCAACACGGGAACCTGAGTTCAGTCCCCATGTGTGTGAAAGCTGAGTGTGGTTCACGTTTGTAATCCCAGTGCTGGGGAGTTGGGGACAGAAGAATTCCAGGGGCAGGCTGCCAAGTCAACATAACCTAACTGCGGCTCCCAGATTCCTACCAGAGACTGTGCCCCAAAAGCACAAGGTGGATGACTCCTGAGGAACACCACCTGAAATTTACCTGTTCTCCACATTCTATGTGTGTGTGTGTGAGCATGTATGCATGCATGCACGCGCACGCACGTGCACACACACACACACACTCAAAGAAATAGTTGAAGTTAGGTGCAGAAGAGTTAGTAACTTACCAAGGACCCTCCAAGATGACTTCACTCTTCTGCCCAGGCTCTTGCTAGATGCTCTACCTGTGGTTGACAACAGGGACAGTGGGAAAATTCATTTTAGATCAATAAAGTAAGAGACTTTTTAAGTGGATTTTACAGGGAATAAAAAAACCCACAAAAAAACAATCCCTTCGTTTCAAGAATACAGGATACTGTTCCTCTGCTGCAGCAAGGATTGGGAATGCCACACTCCTAAATTAGCCAAGTTATCACTAGCTCCCAATTAGCAAAAACCTTTGTGTGACTGCACTTCCAAGGACACATCCCCTGCTGTTAGTTAAATAAGGGAGCTGGTTAGTGACAGAAAGGAGAGCACACGAAGGTAACTGCTAATTGGATAAAGAACCAGTGTCCCTAGGAAGAGCCCCGTCAACCAGCAGGGACCAGGACCTCAGCCTGCAGCCTTGGGAGCATTACTTAGGAGTGATATTCCTTGCTGAAACGACTGTTTTAAATGAGCAAGTTCCATGGAGGGAAGCAAGCAGAGAAAGATGGTTCTGGCCCCGAACTTGGGAAGGGATAAACCAGTTCTGAAACCCTCCCCTCTTAGTCCTGCTGCTACCCCATCCTCCTCAGGAGGCTGTGAGATTTGAGGTATTTTGCATCTTCTAAGCCAGAGGTCACAAACTTCTTGAGGCAAAACAACAATGGGAGAATCAGACCGGTTGGAAGCCTTGGCTCTACCACTGACCATTGGGTCAATTACTCAAATCCCTTGAGTCCTCTGAGCGTGTTTTCTCATTTATATAATTAGGGCATGCATAGCGTCTACCTTATAAGATCGATGCGAACACTAACCACAGATCACCCCTCAGCACTCCAGACACAAAGGAGGTTCTTACAGACTCAGGACTGACTCTTTAAAGTGATTGCTTCAGGACTGTCTTGAAACAACATTTCTTCCCTAAAGCTTCCTTTGTCTCACGCATGCTCAGAACATCTCTGGAATTGCCTTCAGCGCGAATATCCTTGCCGGCCCCTCCTGCATGCTCATTTGGAGCCAAGTGTGGTATTGAGAAGTGCATCCTTTTGGTCACACATGAAGAATGAAGTCCCCAGTCTGGCTTCCATTCCTGTCTCCAGCTCCATTGGTCACCACCTACTGTTCCTCCATCTTCTGTATTTCAGAACCTTATTGTTTCTTGACTGCTCTGCTCTGGTTCCCAGGGCTACTCAAGGCCCCCTGCTCCCAGTGGAATGTCAGAGCCTGGTTTCCAGGATCCAAACAGAAATAATCCCATTTATCTGCCAACCCCCAGCTACGTCCATGAATCTTTTCCGGCCTGAAGCTGTTCAGTGGTTAAGAAGACAGATGTGGAGTCCAGACTCCACAGGACAGGGCTAAAGAGAAGCAGGGAAGCTGCTCAGAGGCCTCATTGCCCGATTCTAGAGCCTCCTCTGCCGTGGGTCACCAGCTCAGTGACCCCAGGGGAGCTACCTCACATTCCTAGGTCTCAGTTCCCTTTATGGTAATGGCTACTTCCAAGGTTTATTTTTCAGATTAGGAAAAGCGTTAGGAGAGCACCGTATAAATGTGTGTCTGATACAATCCAAGGACCTTGTGTCTTGGCAGGGTGACCAGGAATGCTTAGTCAACCGATTTGCATCTCAGTTTCTTTACTTTAAGAGTCAGAAAAATACCACCTACTCCCTATTGTTGGAATTAAATAAAAAATGTATGTAATCTGCTTAGTGTATAATGTATATAAACCTTATATAACATAGAATTTCAACAAAATGATATGCATCGTCAGATATGGTGGCACACACCTGTAATTTGGTCCTTGGGAGGTGGAAGCAGAAGGAACCAAGAGTCCAAGGCCAACCTCAGCTATACAGCAACTCAAAGCCAGCCTGAGCTAACTATGACTCTGTCTCCAAAAAATAATGCAAGAAAAACAAAACAACAAAGACAGCATGCTAAAAACTAAGAACAAGGGAAAAACCTTTTTTCTTAACTCTATTACGCCACATGCCAAATTATGATAGCCTAAACCAGGAATTCCCGGGAGAGACCTGCGCCGCTATTTCTTCTACTTTTATAGTAAAGCAAATTCAACTTATAACCAGCATGTGAAAGGGACCTGGGATTTAAGTAAAAGCCACAACTTGTAAAACCATGATTCATAACACAGACCTTGATGTGCAAGACGAACTAAGTCCAGACACATAACACCAGTCCATTCAGCCCCACTGGCTCTCAGTAGGATGGCAATAAAACCCGACCACAGCTCTGCACAGGTCTGTATTCTAAAGATGAGACCTCTGATTGTCCGAGAAACTTCCTCACTCGCGGATTCTGGCCCGTCTGCAGCCTCGACACTGCCCGTGTTCTTCCTGACTCCACGGCATTCCGGGACATGTGTCCTCTCTTGCAGCAGCGCAATAATAAAGCCAGCTTGATCTTTGGTGGTGTGTTCCCCACTGTCTTTCTTGGTGGGCCTTAACATGCTGTAAAAATTCCAAGGGTTTGATACAGTGCTGGGTATTAGGCAGTTATGCAGGAAACTGTACCTTGAATTAAGATTGGAGTAAGAAGAATTTTATATAACATGCAAATTGTAAAAAGAACCATAGTTTTTTGAAATATCAGAGGCCTCATCGGCAACCTGGGGACGACTCTGTCCGTGGCTCTCCAACCTGTACACCTTACAGAGCGATACAAACTGGAAATATCTAATAAAGAATGTGACTGGAGACCTTATTGGCCTGACACATTTATAGTTAACAGCCCTGGCTGCCATGCAGGAAATCACAAGCTAATCAAGGACACAGTGTAGGACCAGCAAGGTGGCCTGTTTGCCCTTCCTACAGCACCTTGCACTGGGTCTTGCCCACAGTCTTTGCAAAAAGAAACTTACGGAGATTATAGACCGAGGATTTTATTCTGTCCACTGTGGACTGGAGGAGAGCTTTTAACGAGAGACCTGATACCTGCAATGGCCCAGGAAGCCTGTTGGTAGCAGGAGCAAGGGAACACTGGGCAGACAAGCTGCCTAGACATTAGCTCTAGCGCTCAGGCCAGGGGGAGGACTCTGGCCACAGAGCTAACAGTGGCAAAGGGAATGGGTGTCCTTTGAAGAAGGAGCATGGTGAGCAACTGACGTTGAGGGAGCGCAAGAGGCCACAGAAGCGGAGTTGCGCGATTGCCGCCCACTGACATAGGAACCCGCACTTCACTTGTGTTTAATAAACACAGCTTGCTTGACGTTCAGAGAACAAAGCAGCCCCACTGGTCAGCCTTACACCAGGCAGTGGTGACACACACCTTTTATTCCAGTGACCACACCGGTTGCCGTAGAAATCAGGTGGTGCTTGCCTTTAATTCCAGCACTAGAGAGGAATATAAAACAGAAGGAGATGACTCTCAATCAGTCTCATTCTGAGATTGCTGGAGGCAGGATCACCATTTTGAACTGAGGTCAAGGTAAGAGCCAGTGGCTGGCTGCTTTGCTTTTCAGATCTTTGGGAGGAACCCCAACTTCTCTCTCTGAGTTTTACTAAATCCTCTTTCAGAAACCATCTTGAAATCAAAGCACCGTGAAAGGTCAGAGGCCTTCTATACATTGGAGCCAATGCCCAAAGTCATGGGGTTCTGACTTAACTTGGGTAACAGGCAGCTAACATGGTGTGGCATCAGCCACCGCTGCTGCTTTGGTATCTCACACAGGTCAAATCAAGACAACAGCAAAGGTCATAGCATTTGCTTAGAGTAGGTTAACCATGAGCCACTGATTTAGTTTCTTGGCAAGCAACAACAGTCCATTGGTAAAGTGTGCTAGACAAATTTATTTTTAGTTTTGTTTAAAATTTCAATTAAATTCATTTAAGCCACGAGAGTCAAAGGCCTTTGATCTCTGCTTGGCCTGGCTGACCATTAGAGTGAATCGCTCATGAGCTGATGGCCGTTTTTTAACATTTTTACTCAGTATTTTCCTGCAGGCAACACAGCTGGAGACAAAGACAGGTCCGGCACCTTTCCTGGGCTAAGGAACAACAATAGCCAAGTTTGGCCTGAGAAGAGTCTGCATGAACGTACAACACAAATAGCTAGTATTTTAGCAAACACCCTTCTTGCTTTCAGGAACTTTAAAGGTAACTTTGCCTGAGAATCAATTCATCACTACTATGGGAAGGAAACGGGTTATTTAGAACAAACACAGTAAACGGCCGGCAACAAACGCATCACCGCCTTGAGAGAGCTGATGTTAAGGTTTCTCAGAGATCATCTGCCAGGAAGAGAAAAATCCAGTATGAATTCCTTTTCCGGGAACTGTGCTGCCAGGTGTGACCCACTGAACACGTGACTAAAGAAAAAAACCTTCAGGTACTTCTCCTAGAATGACGCTCTAGTCCTTTCTGCTTCTCTGGGGCTCGCACCAGGCTCTGCAGAGATCCCGGGACTACGTTCTCAGAGAGCTGCCAGAAGCAATTAAGTTTGCTCTGTGTTCATTTTCAAAGAACTTGCAGCTAGAGTAAGAAAGAGCACAAATATTTTTTTTCTCCAGAAATGGGTCTTTCCATGGCTGAAACTTTTGAGTTTATTTTCATTAAATTATTTCATGAACAAATAATCAGTGGACAACTGGAAATGATTATTTAATAATTACAGTTAGCTCTAATAGAAACAACCCATTAGGGCAATAATAGCACACAGGCTGCAATGGCCATTTTAACTCTGAAAATGCCAGCTGGGGCAAGTGCTGGGCCCCCTTCTTCAGAGGCCTTACAGGCTCCTTCAGCCTCCATATTACTAAAGGATGACATCTCTCTCAATATACTAAGAGGCTAAGTAACTCAAAGACATAGGGCGTTTTCAAACCAATAACCTCAACAGGATAGGAGAAAAAGACTTCATTTTAAAACCATAAAATTGCTCTTTAAAGAGTAGATTTGCTTATGAGTTTACTGCATCTAGTTTGTATTTCCTCCAAATCGAAGTTTTGGACCAGGTTGAGTTACAATGGGGCAGTTAGTTGGCCTTCTGCACACCCCCCTCAGGACACCGCCCCTGACTGGTA